GGGGGCTTGGCTCAAACGGAACCTTCAACTGCCCAGCTAAAGCTGTCTGGTGCCCCTGCCCCCTTGTGAGCCAGTGTCCTACACTCCCCCTCCCGTGCCACCGAGTGTGCGCCCTCTCCCAAAGCTGCCGGTCTGGGTCTGAGTGGAGCTTTGGGGAGGAGGTGGCCCGGGCTTCTCCGAAGCCCCTCCCTTCCTGATCTGCCAGCTGCAAAGCCCCAGAAGGCGGTTATGGGATGGAGACCTCTTACCCAGGATTGATAGCCATCTGATTTCTCTGTGGCACAGCGCAGAGAGCACCTACAACTCCAACTCGTTCTGTAACACACAAGGCCCCGTAGGGCTGTCATTTGAAAAGATAAAAGAGGTTGGGCGCCAAATTATGCGACACTGGGTGAGACTGGAAGAGGGGATGAGTGAAGGCTGAGGGTGCTCCGGGTGGGGAAGGAGACTGGAGCCAGGCCCTCTGCCACTGTGGACTTCACACAGGAGTGGTGCCCTTCACCACATTTATAGGACTGAGCCAGCCAGGCAAGGGAAGGCACTCCCCACGCCAGCCACCAGTGCCGGAAGCTCTGTGCACCCACCTCCTTAGAAATGGATGACAGGTTAGAGGCCTCTGGCCTGTTCACACCAGGATGCCCCTCCTATACCTCCTCTTCGTGGGTGGCTGACTTGATCTTCCCCCTTCTGTGGTCACTTCTGAAGGAGGCAGACTCAGCAGGTGCTGAGGGCCAGCTGCCTGGGGTGGGGGGGGCACAGGATGGGTGCTTCCCCCATGGGTCTTTATGCATAGGAGCCAGGCCTGGAAGGAAGGGCTGTGGGGACTTCTCTGCTGAGAATGGAGTTGTTTGGGGAGCAGAGAAAGGCTGCCGGGGAAGTGGTGGGACATCCTGCCAGCCCAGGGTGTCACAGGGCATGGCAGTTGTTGACAGTTGGTGCGGTTTCACGCCTCCGTGAAGCTGGGACCTGGGAACTGCCTGGCCCAACTGTGGCCCCACTGTCCTGTGACAGGAGAGCGGCACATACGAGAATGTTTCTTCTCCGTGAACAGTGAGCACAGGAAGAAACTAAGGGGGAGGTTTTCAGGCCCAGGCTCTTCCCAAGGGGCGCCCTTTCAGTGGGTCAATGACAGATTCAAACCCACCCAACAAACCACAGCCTCTCCTGCCTTCCCCGGGTCCTGTTCTTGGAGGTGGGAGTTATGGTGCAGTGTGGCTCAGGGCCAGGCGGTGCAGAATAGGAAGTATTGCTCATAACAAAAGGGGAATTGAATAGCCAGCTTTGGGAAATGGAGAGAGAAGCAAATAAGCCCTGTCCAATGGAGGGTCTCCAGGGGCACCTTGATAACAAGGCCTGGGGATCTGGGAATTCAGTTCGTTTGATTTTTTTTTCCCCATACTAGCAGGCCAGGGCAATTGTGAGGGTGTTCCAAGACAGAATAACCCACATTTATTTAGCTCTAGAATGTTCTGAGGTTTAAAAATAATATTTACCTTACTAATTATGTCAGCCTTGGGCTGATATTAACATGTGTTTCCTGATTGGGCAGTAGGGGGTGGCACCTAGGTGTCAGGGCCCAGCACCAGCCCAGGAGTGAACAGGATTCAGAGCAAATCCTGGAGACCTGGTTCCCAGGACCTAACACTCAGTGTGTTTGATTTGTACCTACCCTTTTAGGATCTGAATGATATGTCCCCAACGAGGCACCCACAGCCACAGGCGTTTAGTATAGGCTGAGAGCTGGACCTGCACGGAGGGCTGGCAGAAATGGGCTCCTGCCTGAGTCCTGGGCAGTCTGTGGCAGCAAGGAGGAGAGAGAAGCCTGGGCGTCTGGAGCGGGGCTGGGATGAAGCAGTTCTGCAGTGAGTGACCGGATCAGAGCCCGGCCCGCCTGGCCCACCATGGTCCAGAGGCTGTGGGTGAGCCGCCTAGTGCGGCATCGGAAAGCCCAGCTCCTGTTGGTCAACCTGCTGACCTTCGGCCTGGAGGTATGTCTGGCTGCAGGAATCACCTACGTGCCGCCCCTGCTGCTGGAAGTGGGGGTAGAAGAGAAGTTCATGACCATGGTGCTGGGTGAGTCGCCACCTCCTCCTGCCCTCCTGTTTCAGATACATGCCACCTGGAAATAGGGCCACGGTGCCTCTGCCCAAAGAGCCCCTTGTGGGGAGAGGTGGCTGTCTGCTGGGTTGGTGTGGCTGGGGACAGGGGTGACTCTGGGCTGAGGGGGTCCCAAGAGGAAGAAAAGAGTACAGGGACATGCCCTGGTTCCCACTATACCCCTGCATATAGGAGACACTGTAGAAATGGCCCTTTCCTTTGGCTAGCTCTTTATAATTTTATCTATTTTCTCATCTAATGCCTTCAGCAAGCGTTTGAGGTTCTCTAGTCCACAGAGAAAATAATGTAAGAAGTTAGCTGACCTAGCCAGGGTGTACCCTAGCTACTGAGTAGTAGCCAGAGCTCTTGCTTACCCGTGGGTCAGGAGCTGGGCTGACTGCAGAGGAATTCTGCAAAAGCTGCAGAAAGCAAGTAGTCAGGATGCAACTCCCAGGAAGAAGGGGCTCTGCCAAGGTGACAGGGCCTGGAGTTGGACCACCTATTAAAGCCCTGCCTTCCGCCCTCCCTAGCCTTGTGCCTGGACACAAATATCACTTATCAGTTGCTCCATGCCTCAGTTTTCCCATCTGAAAATGGGATGTTAGTGATCCTAGCTGTAAGGAGTAGATTAGACTCGCTGAAGCACTCAGCATAGTACCCAGCACAGGATCCGTCCTCCCTGTGATAGTGTCACGGCCATTTCCATCCTTCTCAAGGTAGTTG